AAGAACCCAGATAAAGATCCGCTCAAAATTCCCATTAATTTTAGACGAAGTAAAAGCAATGGAATAGAGGAGAAACAGCCTTTTCTTTTTCTTTTAAATATATATTTTATTGTGTTTTAGGTTTGGGGTACATGTGAAGAACATGCATGATTGTTGCATAGGTACATACGTGGCAATGTGGTTTGCTGCCTTCCTCCCCATCACCTATATCTGGCATTTCTCCTCATGTTATCCCTCCCCAAATCCCCACCCCACACTGTACCTCCCCTAGTTCCCCCCAACAGCCCCCAGTGTGTGATGCTCCCCTCCCTGTGTCCATGTGTTCTCATTGTTCAACACCTGCCTATGAGTGAGAACATGCGGTGTTTGATTTTCTGCTCTGGTGTCAGTTTGCGGAGAATGATGGTTTCCAGGTTCATCCATGTCCCTACAAAGGACATGAACTCATCGTTTTTGATGGCTGCATAGTATTCCATGGTGTAAATGTGCCACATTTTCCCTGTCCAGTCTATCATTGATGGGCATTTGGGTTGGTTCCAAGTCTTTGCTATTGTAAACAGTGCTGCAATCAACATTCATGTGTGTGTGTCCTTATAACAGAATGATTTATAATCCTTTGGATATATACCCAGTAATGTGATTGCTGGGTCAAATGGGATTTTCTATTTCTAGGTCCTTGAGGAATTGCCACACTGTCTTCCACAATGGCTGAACTAATTTACACTCCCACCAACAGTGTGAAAGTGTTCCTATTTCTCCACATCCTCTCCAGCATCTGTTGTCTCCAGATTTTTTAATGACCGCCATTCTGACTGGTGTGAGATGGTATCTCAATGTAGTTTTGATTTGCATTTCTCTAATGACCAGTGATGATGAGCATTTTTTCATGTTTGTTGGCCTCATGTATGTCTTCTTTCGTAAAGTGTCTGTCTATATCCTTCGCCCACTTTTGAATGGGGTTGTTTGTTTTTTTCTTGTAAATCTGTTTTAGTTCTTTGTAGATTCTGGTTATCAGCCCTTTGTCAGATAGGTAGATCGCAAAAATTTTTTCCCATTCTGTTGGTTGCCGATTCACTCTAATGACTGTTTCTTTTGCTGTACAGAAGCTGTGGAGTTTGATTAGGTCCCATTTGTCTATTTTGGTTTTTGCTGCCAATGCTTTTGGTGTTTCGGTCATGAAGTCCTTGCCTACGCCTATGTCCTGAATGGTTTTGCCTAGGTTTTCTTCTAGGGTTTTTTATGGTGTTAGGTCTTATGTTTAAGTCTTTAATCCATCTGGAGTTAATTTTAGTGTAAGGTGTCAGGAAGGGGTCTGGTTTCTGCTTTCTGCACATGGCTAGCCAGTTTTCCCAAAACGATTTATTAAACAGGGAATCCTTTCTCCATCACTTGTTTTTGTCAGGTTTGTCAAAGATCATATTGTTGTAGATGTATGGTGTTGCCTCTGAGGCCTCTGTTCTGTTCCATTGGTCTATATCTCTGCTTTGGTACCATACCATGCTGTTTTGATTACTGTAGTCTTGTAGTATACTTTGAAGTCAGGTAGTGTGATGCCTCCAGCTTTGTTCTTTTTTGCTTAGAATCGACTTGGCTATGTGGGTTCTCTTTTGGTTCCATATGAAGTTTAAGGTGGCTTTTTCCAGTTCTGTGAAGAAGGTCATTGGTAGCTTGATGGGGATAGCATTGAATCTATAAATTACTTTGGGCAGTATGGCCATTTTCATGATATTGAGTCTTCCTAACCATGAGCATGGAATGTTTCTCCATCTATTTCTGTCCTCTCTTATTTCGTTGAGCAGTGGTTTGTAGTTCTCCTTGAAGAGGTCCTTTACATTCTTTGTTAGTTGTATTCCTGGCACTGGAGCAATTTGACCTAAACCAATACCAAAATTAACTCAAAATGGATCCTGGAGTCAAATGTAAACATACAACTATATAAGAGAAAAATCATTGTGGTGTAGGACTAAGCAAAGTTCTTAGACTTGAAACCAAAAGCATGAACCATAAAAAGAAAAATTTATAAATTGCATCTCATCAAAATGAAAAAATTTTTTCTGTGAAAGAACTTGGAAAAAGGATCAAAATACACATTACAGACAGGAAGAAAACATTTAGAAATCATGTATCTAAGAAAGGTCTTGAGTCCAAAATACATAAAGAACTCTCAACATTAAAACTCAACATAAAAAAAAAAAAAGACTGCTGTCGTCTGAATGTTTGTGCCTCTCTAAAACTCATTTGTTGAAATCTAAACCCCAAGGTGATGGTATTAAGAGGTGGGGCCTTTGGGAGGTGATGAGGTCATGAGGAGGAGGGCTCGTGAGTGAGATCAGTGCCTTATAAAAGAGCCCAGGGGAGCTTATCTGCCCCTTTCACTGTGTGAGGACACAGCAGGAAAGGACTGTTCTAGGAAACAGAAAGTGAGCACTCACCAGACACCAAATCTGATCTTGCACTTCCAGCCTCCAGAACTGTGAGAATTAAATTGCTGTTGTTTATAAGCCATCCAGTTTACAGTATTTCGTTATAGCAGCCTGAGCAACCAAGACAAGGGCCCAAGGCCTCCTTCAGCACCATGTTTTATGGTATGTGTTCTGTGAACCCTCTGGCTTCGGATCTTTGGGGAGGAGGAGGGAGCAGAGGGATTGGTAAACAGCCAATTCCCATGTACCACTCCAGAAATTCTGATTCAATGGATTTGGGCAGGACCTGAGGACTCTGCATTTAAAACGAGCTTCTTGGGAGATTTTTAAAAAATTATTATTAAGGTTCGAGAACTCCTACCATGGCCCAATCTACCAAATTACAAAGGAAGAGCATGCTGAGCACAGTGGCTCATGTCTGTAATCCCAGCACTTTAGGAGGCTGAGGTGGGTAGATCACTTGAGGTCAGGAGTTTGAGACCAGCCTGGCCAATATGAGGAAACCCCGTCTCTACTAAAAATATGAAAATTAGCTGGGCGTGGTGATGCACACCTGTAATCCCAGCTACTCAGGAGGCTGAGGCAGGAGAATCACTAGAACCCAGGAGGTAGATGTTGCAGTGAGCTGAGATTGTACCACAGTACTCAAGCCTGGGCAACAGAGTGAGAGTCCATCTCAAACAAACAAAACTAAAAAGGAAAAGCAGCATTAGAAAGAAAACCTGGACGGGGATGGTTGTGCCCTAAAGGGGCAAACCAAAAAAAAAAAAAAAAGAAGAAGAAGAAGAAAGACTAGCAACAATCCAGAAGTGTTGTGGGTAACAATTTCTAAGAAGCAACCATTATCTAGATTTATTAGGGTGTTAAAGAAATGAAGTTCCCTCTCACATACACACACTCAAGAATACAAATCTCAGGAGAACTTGCTCTGTGTGACGAATTCTCATATTCATGCTCAAGGAGCATGCACTCCCGGCCTTGTGTTCACAAAGGCTATGAGAGTCCTGGGGAGACCAGGTTCTCTGAGGGTAGGACACATACTTAGGCAACTTGGGGGACACATTCTCGAGCTGACACACAGGATATGAAGCAGCAGCTCTTCCTCACCCTGCCATCAAACAGTCTGTTTCTGCCTTCACCTTTCTGCATCTAACCTTTCACAGGGACCAAGAGAAGAGCCTAAGGAGCAGCAGGCAACATGCTGAAGTGCAGAGTCATGTCAAGACTGGGTTTGTCTGAGCAGCTGGTGAGTAAGAAGGCTGTGACCAGGGCTCTGAGAAATAGGGACGGGGCCATCCTGACAAAGAGAACAAAGAACTGCCCAGGGAAGGTGAAGAAGGTAACTGTTAACCCTTCAAAAAGTGACATGGCCTTTAGTAAGATGAAGGCCGGCCCATAAGAGATGCCAGCCAAGCAGATTTTGATCAAAGGGTGGGAATGACCTGTTGGCCTGATCAGGCACCTGGGCTTCTGAGATTGCCTTCCTAGCCCTGTCCACACACACTCCCCGCCTGACGCCCTTTCCCTAGCCTAGGTTCCTGAGTTTCTCATCCGTTGCTCACTTGTGTCTTTTGCATGTCCTCTTTGTCCATTCGACAGAGGCTAGCTAATTAGCTTTTAAGGCAGACTGCAGTCCATTTCCGTTCACCTCATTATTTGTTTCTCTTTGGGGCTGAAGCCCAGCAACAAACAAACATTAACATTCCCCCTGCAGAACAGGCATAAAGACACCCGGGAGCATATTACACACAGCACACTCTCACCGCATGCACACGTGCACACGCCTGCTCCGCTGCTATCCTGCTGTGTGAGGTCTCTGCGGCCCGGTTCTCTCAGGGCATCTAGGGTAACACCTCTTTCCATTTCAGACCTGGGACTCGGAAAAACGTAACAAACGGTGTAATGGAATGGCCCTGGGCAAGCAGGGAAAGGACGCTGGGAATTTCGGAAAGCACAGTCCCCTCGCCCAGCACCCGTTAAGGGCCGCTGCGGGTGTCTTGCACGCAGCTGTTTCCTCCTCCCGCCCTCCTGTTCCCCGGGCCAAGCCTGGGCACCGGCACCTGCACTCTGCATTCATTGCAATACCGTAAACCTCCTTTCTAGCCATTTTCAATCAAGTGGGAGACCGTCCAAATTTCCATCTCGGTGGAGATCAACTGTTCTAAATCCAAGCTCCCATGAAGCGTTCCAGGGGCTGGCCTGACTTGGAATTGAAGCAGCAGCTCCGCCCTCCAGGGAGTGAGCGGCGGCCGAAGCTCCGGGTGAGGTGGGCCTGCCCACTAGCGGCCACGGTGCTGCACGGCAGCTCTGAGGGCTCGCGGGGCGGTGCAGTCGCCAGTCAGCGCCTCCCGAGGACGCAGGGAGGAGACACAGGAAGAGAGTCGTTAAGTCCCCAAGTCCCATCCCCTTTCCCTCCTCGGCATCTCTCCACGTGGCCCCACTCCGGCTCCGTCGAGCTGCAGTGGTCTGTGAGCTGGACTCCGCCTCCAGCTTCTGTGTGGAATCCATGCACCTCGCTGCAGGACACGCATTGTGGATCCCCTGCGATCTCTCAGGAAGGCCCTGCTGAGCCTCCTCTTTATCTGCAGGGAGGATCCCCAAGCGGAGAGACACGCCCTTCCTGCAGAGGCGCACCGCCTGCCACCCACTGGGCGGGACGGGCGGCGTTTCTCCCCACACGCCCGCGGGAGGAGGCCACGACCCTCCCCGCGCTCGCGCTGAACCCCTGCCGCTGAGCTGCAGTTCCGGAGGTGTCCTGTCGCTCAAATGTGGGGACGCTGGGGAAAGATCAGAAGGTAAATTTCAAAGCAGGCAAAAGCTCTTGGCCCTCCACAACCCGGCCTCGAGTTTCCCTTCTAGCCTTAGGGCTGGCGTAGAATGAAGGGCTGGAATCAGTCCGCCTGGGTTAGAATGCCAGGTGTGCCACGTTTTAGGCATGTAACCGTATGAAACGTTCTCAATTCTAAATTTCTTTACAAGGTTGTTATGGAAACTAAACGAGGTCGCCTGAATATCAAATTTAGCACAATTCTTGCCACATGGTGAATCTTCAGTAAATGGCAGCTGTCATTGTCCCTTCCCGGTTAGGGAGACAACTGGCTTGCTCACAGTTCTGATACCGGCCTTGCACTGAAATTTCCATGTCTGCACCTTGGCTTTTGACACCGTTTGCCAGGAGCGTCCACTATCACCACCTTGGTCAAAGCCACTGTCACATCCTGCAATAGATTAATTCATCTTCCTGCTCCTGCCCACAGTTATGATCTTTTTAAATGTAAGTCAGATTACGTCACTCATCTGCTCAAACCCCTACTGTAGCCCCCGTTTTACTCGGTGGAAAAGCCAAAGCATTTACCACCTCCTAGAGGCTTTACGTGATCTGGCTCTTTCTCTTCATACCATTTCCCATTGCTTTTTCCCTTGTTCACGCCATTTCTTCCACAGTGACCAACTGCATTTGCTGGAACACACCCGCAATTTATTGATAGTCTTTGTGTTGGCTTTCCGTCTACCTAGAATCTTTTCCTCACATACCTGCATGGCAGCTGATACCTGTAATCTCAGCACTTTCATAGGTGAAGGCAGCAGGAGCTCCAGACCAGCCTGGGCAACACGGCAAACCCTCATCTATACAAATAATACAAAATACGTTTTATCATAGAGAACTAGTGGCACACAGCTGTAGTCCCAGCTGCTTGGGAGGCAGGAGGATCACTTGAGCCTAGGAGGTTGAGGCGGCAGTGTGAGCCATGATCATGCTATTCCACTTTAGCAACAGAGCATGACCCTGTCTCAAAAAAACAAATAAAAACCAATCCTGATCACGTATTTAAAATTTCAAACTGGTCTGTTTTCCCCCAGTACTTCCAAACCCCTTTATCTTGCCCAACTTCTTTTCCATAGCATATGCCACATTCCTTACCACCTTCTAAAATAATATATAATGGGCTGGGCGCAGTGGCTCACGCCAGTAATCCCAGCACTTTGCGAGGCCAAGGCGGGCAGATCATTAGGTCAAGAGATGAAGACCATTCTGGCCAACATGGTGAAACCGCATCTCTACTAAAAATACAAAAATTAGCTTGGCATGGTGGCATGTGCCTGTAGTTCCAGGCACACCCTACTTGGGAGGAGGAGGCAGGAGAATTACTAGAACCCAGGAGGCAGAGGTTGCAGTGAGCTGAGATCGTGCCACTCCACTCCAGCCTGGCGACAGAGGGAGATTCCATCTCAATAAATAAATAAAATTATATATATATATAATGTATAGAATTAATATATATTATAAATTATAATTATAATATATATTATATATATTATAATTATATATTATAAATTATAATTATAATTATATATTTATATATAATTATATTATATATTTATATATAATTATAATATATATTATAAATATATTAACATATAATATATAATATAATATATACTATATGTTATATATAATATAACATATATAATTAATAATTAATAAAATACATATTTGCAAATGGTTGGCTTCATTATATATAATATATAATATATATGTAAATTATTATATATAATTATATATATAGTTGGATTTGCAATTTGTTTGAATTTACATGCAAGAGTAAAATAAGGTATTTTTAGCTTTAGTGGATACTCTCTAAAAGATTTCCAAAGTACTTGCACCAAATTACACTCCTACCAGCAAATTATGAGAGATTAATTTGCCAATGGTTGGCTTCATTATATATTATATAAATTATTATATGTATAATTTACATATATATTATATATAATTTATATTTATATTTTATATAATATATATTATACATATATTTAATATATTTTAAATATTAATATTTAATATATATTAAATATATATTTGAATATATATATTTTATATATTTTTATATAATTTATATAATATATAATTATAATTATATATTATATATTATATAAATTATTTTATATATAATAATTTACATATATATTGTTATATATTATATATAATTTATATTTATATTTTATATAATATATATTATATATTTAATATATTTTAAATATTAATATATTAAATATATATTTAAATATATATATTTTATATAATTTATATAATATATATAATTATAATTATATATATTATATATTATATAAATTATTTTATATATAATAATTTACATATATAATATATTATTATATATATTATATATAATGAAGCCAACCATTGGCAAATTAATCTCTTATAATTTGCTGGTAGGAGTGTAATTTGGTGCAAGTACTTTGGAAATCTTTTAGAGAGTATCCACTAAAGCTAAAAATACCTTATTTTACTCTTGCATGTAAATTCAAACAAATCGCAAATCCAACAAAAAGTACTAGTCTAAGCCAATCAAGAAATTAGGCAAGCCAGTCAAGAAACTCTCATACCCCTTTGCCAGATACCCACTTTCCCAGCTCCTCCTTGCAGCTAGGGGAGCCCATGTGCCCAGTTTTGGCCACTATTAATTATTCTGTTACTTGCAGCTGAAATCATTTCTAACTATGACTGTTCCCTTATAAAGTACTAGTGTGCAAAAGAGAGTCATAAACTGGTAAGATATCTTACTGTGCTCTCTTTAATTTTCCCAGTGTCTTCATGGTCCTTTGGTGAGTCTCTTCCTTACAAGTTTACTAAAATGTCATTTTCTATTCAAATGTCTTTCAATGGTATATGAACTCACTAATAAGACCAATAACTTTCCAAAGGCCTTTAGGGCTAAGACAGACATTTAAAACTAAGGGAAATTCTACACAGTTGCTGTCTCCTGTTGCAGGTTAACCAACTGCTAAACTCTGACAGTAACATGTCTTAACCTGCATTTACCCACAAGCACACCAGTGTGCCAATTCTATAAATGTAAATACACTGTGAACAGGTGAGCAGGGCTCAGTCCTGATTGAGAAGGCAAATTACTATGAAGTTTAATGAAGTTCTAGGCTCCTTCCCTTGCATAAATCCTTTTTTTTTTTTTTTTTTTTTTTTTTTTTTTTGAGAAGGAGTCTCACTTTGTCGTCCAGGCTGGAGTGCAGTGGTGTGATCTCAGCTCACTGCAACCTCCACCTCTCGGTTTCAAGCAATTCTTCTGCCTCAGCCTCCTGAGTAGCTGGGACTACAGGCATGCACCACCACACTCAGCTAACTTTTGTACTTTTAGTAGAGATGGGGTTTCACCATATTGGCCAGGAGGGACTCCATCTCTTGACCTCTCCATCCACGTGCCTCCATCTCCCAAAGTGCTGGGATTACAGGCTTGAGCCACCGTGCCTGGCCGCATAAGCCCTTTTCATGCTTGGGGTCCAAGCAGTCTGTTCCCATAGTCATATGCTTTTGTAAAACTTGTGAGGTACATTAACTACAATTGGTTAAGACCTCTGTCTCTTTCCTCTCCAGCTTACCCTCTGTTACACTTGCTCTTCTGTAGGGTGGTGTTTTTGTTTGTTTGTTTTGGAGACAGAGTCTTGCTCCGTCACCCCAGCTAGAGTGCAGTGGCGTGATCTTGGCTCACAGCAACCTCTGCCTCCAGGGTTCAAGTGGTTCTCCTGCCTCAGCCTCCTGAGCAGCTGAGATTACAGGCATGCACAACCATGCCTAGCTATTTTTTTTTTATTTTAATTTTTAGTAGAGACAGGGTTTCCCCATGTTGGCCAGGCTGTTCTTGAACTCCTGACCTGAGGTGATCTGCCTGCCTCAACCTCCCAAAGTGCTGGAATTACAGGCATGAGCCACTGCGCCCGGCCAGGGGTGGTCTCAAAGAGGGACGGGATGACTGGATTCAGCTAAGGGGAAGCTGAGTTGAAGAGACATAGAGTTTGGGTTAAAAAAGGTTATTTTTATGTGATTCACTTCCATATCTAAGTTACTGTTAGCTATTGTGTTGCAGGAATGGCTTCCAGCAATATTTCCAATGCTCTTTTGCTGACTCAACCAATATCTGACAGACAAGTGCAATGGTAGAGGTCACATTGCGATTTGACTGTAACCTGTTGTACTTGGCATTGTAAGTCTGTAGGTAATCACATAGAAAAAGTTATCAAAAGTATGAAGCCAGAAGCCAGCCTGTGGAAAATTCTGCCAATCTTCAGTGATGTAAAAGTCTGAGCAGAGGATTTAATTCTCAAAGACGCCTGGTCAACATGGAAGTTATGTCCTGTCAAGAATATACATGATAAGCAGTGTATGCAATTATAAGCCCAATTATAAACCCAGTAGTTTTTATTTTTGAGGCAAATCACACAAGATACATTTTATCAGAAATCCTGTGATTGTAGGACACAAACCAGTGCCAGGTTCACAATGACTGTGTCTGTTTGTTTAGGCATGTATTTTACACATCCCAACATGCTGGATCACATCACATCCTGAAGACAAACAGTAGCTTTAGACAAAACAGAATGAAAAAGGATTCATCAATGGAGGACAGCAACCTAAAAAAACAACCTAATGATAAAATCACCACACATATTTATAAAATAAGTACATGTATGTAGTATAAGAATAATCATAAGTAGCTTAACACAATGATATTTAAATTTTATTTTACTTACTCTCCTACATGCCTTAAGTTCAGATAGCTTTGTGTATTTATTCAGAATTATTGATTATATTAAATTTCAAAAGAATTATAAAGGTATATGTAAGGTAATTCATTAATAAAACCATTATATAATTTTTCCTGAACTTTGGCAGACAGGGTATATGAGGATATTGTCACAGGGTTTGAGGGAAGCACATCTCACACGCCTCACACGTGAGAACCCAGTCATCGCATTTATGAACTACAAAAGAATCAGCACTTTAAAATTAGTAATTTGTGAATTTTTCTCATTCCAAGTAAATAGTTGTTTACATACCCAATTTTTAATCTTTTTTTGTTTTACTTTTTATTTCTTTTTTAAATTTTGGGTGTTTTTTTTTTCTCTTTTCCTACACACCAATTTTTAATTCCTAACTTTGCATGCTTTTTCTTAAAGAGAGCCTCTGCCAAATTGTGTAAGCTCCTACACAATGCGTAACTACCTCTGGTGATCAGGCAACAGTCACAATCGCTCAAGACTGCAAATGATATTTACCAATTTGTCTGGTTACTTTGGAAGTTCTTTCAATGTCCGGCTTTAAAAGGGCGAGAATATTAAGCAAGGAGAATTGAAGCTGCTTTACTGAATACCTACATAGTTCGTTAAGTGAACATAACCTAATGTTAAAGTAGAACGCTTCTCACCTCAGTTTCTCTGGAGGGTCTGATATTGTGGCTCTCAGGTACCAATGTGTGCATGAGACAGAACACTGTAAGAGGAATCTAAAACAAAATGAACCCTGATGTTTGGGTTTGGTTTCGACATTTAAGGCCATTTATCCAAGGACTTCTTTCTCTCTTCAAGAATATAAAAAGATTTTTGGAGAGTAAGAAGAAAAAAGAAAGATTCTAGTGAGAAGGGTTTTTGGAGAAGTTTTTGCTGTAAGCCTAAAAGTCCTGTATCTCGAGAGAAAATAAGGGATGAGGGGACACCTGAGCCTCCCTCAAGTTTTGAGGGACTTCAGCACCGCCATTCTGAGAACCTAATATGTGTCACCTGAAGTTCGAAAGACAGTGAGCTGAGAGCTGATTTCTGCCCCAGAAAATCTGCAGAGTAAGAGGGAAGCTGGCCATTTGTGTTGAGGATGACGAAGCCAAAGCAAGTAGCTGCAATGTCTGGGAAATTCCCACCACCTCAAGCCCCTGCAGTGGAAGGACAAGGCATGTTCCCTCAATGTAGGACACGATAGAGGACCAGCGATCCTGAGGCTGTGTTAGGATCTACCAGAGAGGACCTCCTAGAAGGGGCAATGGGACTCCATGGTGTATGGGGGTGGATTCTCTAAAGTGGGAGTTGCCAGCAGAAAAAGGGACATCAACACAGCTCCACAGATCCCACAGAGGGGGTACCCCCCAAAAGAGTGCTCAAGAGAATATCAACCTTAAACATCAGCCACATTCGCAAAAAGCCAAATAATGGCAGAGTTGAGTAAGAAAATTCCCTTCTACTATTTTTGATTCCTCTCTTTATGTCCCAACCCTAGAGGCAAGTCTAATGAGGAAGAAGGAGCAGGAACAGAGAAATGAAGATCAAGCCTTCCTCTCTCGCTGCAGGTAGCCAGCTCACACTGAGCTGCCCAAGAAAGGGAGACCATTCAACACTAAATAAAATTTAGGGTTTTAGGTTTTTCCAGGGCTAGGTATTTTAATGTGTGTATTTAGGCTGTGTTTGTGACTTAAAATGACCACAGGACAGACTGTAAATTACCTTGGGGTGAATTGTATTCCTCCAAGGCAGGGAAAGATTGCCATATGAAATCAGCTTTATAGGATCAAGAACAAAAGTCAATTTGTGTTTTTATCACATTCCACATGTCAAATTTGTTACATTAAGAAGAACCTATTAGAAAGCTATAAATAAAATGTTAATAATGGTATTGTTCTTATACCATTTTCTGATCCTTTTTCATTGGGCTTTAGTGGAATCCATATTCCTAAGTGGCCAGATTCATGTCTCTGCCTTGATATTAATCTGAGTCATTCATTCATTAATTAACCCAACAAGTATTTATTGAGATCTGACGAGTTTAGCTTCCTAAGCTCTACTTTGGACATGTCCAACACCCCTACTCAAGAATCTTCTGTGACTCCCCACTGTTTACAACAGACAGGAATATCAGTAGGGTAAGGCTTTACCTCACCTCCTCCCTCTCTCACTGTGTCTTCCGATACATGCCTTAGGGACTGGGGTGTGCCCTTACCTCCCCTTTCAAGAGCCCCGCCTCAGTGCTGCCCTAAAAGCCGCTATGATGTGTCAGAGGATTCATTTAATTTGCTCTTAGCAGAGCCCCTATCCTTTGCCCACCTAAATCACTTAGATAAAAAGGGAATTGAATTATATTTCATTTAGATTCAACTTACATTTTCTTTCTTTTTTTTTTTTTTTATTAAGCCAGGAATTTGATATCCTCTCTTGGCAGAAGCCCAGCAGTAATCACTTTAGTCCAGATCCTTTCTCTAATGCTGTATCCTGGGGAAGGAAAGCTTATGGGGATTTCATGAGTGGTCCTGGTGAAATGACAGTTTATTTATCTCCAGGGGCTCTTTAGTCTCCGCCTCTTGCACCTGGCCCTGACAGAAGGTTTGGAGGCTTTGGGGTCAAAGCAGTTTGGTTGGGAGAAGAAGGACAGGAACAGCAGTTATAAATGTCTGACTGCAGCCCACTTGTAAGAGATCTTTGCAGTTCATACAAATGAAGTGGACTGAAATGCACTATTCTAGAACAATATGCCTCCCTAGCGTCTCCCCTGCAGCCTCCATGTACCCTGTTTGGGAGAGTATTAAAATGAATTTTTGGCTAGGAACGGCAGCTCACGCCTGTAATCCCAGCACTTTGGGAGGCCGAGGTGGGTGGATCACTTGAAGTCAGAAGTTCAAGACCAGCCTGGTCAACACAGTGAAAACCCATCTCTACTAAAATTACAAAAATTAGCTGGGCATAGTGGCACATGCCTGTAATCCCAGCTGCTGAGGAGGCTGAGGCACGAGAATACTTGAACCTGGGAGGCAGAGGTTGTGGTGAGCCAAGATCAGTCGCTGTACTCCAGCCTGGGCCACAAGAGCCAGACTCTATCTCAAAAAAAACAAACAAAAGAAAAAGAACTTTTGACTTAAGTGTGATTATCCTGTTTCAGCTTATTGTACATCCAAAATACAAGTACTGGAAGATAAGATTAACACTTACATTCTGTGCTCTTTTAAAATTTTTTTTTTTATTCTGTTGTAGGTACTTCATATATGTGACATCATATCATATACGTCCTTCTGTGTCTGACTTGTTTCCCAAGCATGCTTTGACGTTTCATCCATGTTGTAGCATATATCAAAATTTTATTCCTTTTTATGGATGAATAATATTTGCGTGCGTGTGTGTGTGTGTGTGTGTGTGTGTACAAACCAGGTTTTGTTTATCCATTCATCTGTTGATGGACACTTGGGTTGTTTATACCTTTTGACATTTGTGAGGAACATCTGTTCTTTACCTTCCCAAGCTCTAAATTTAGATAGATAGATAAATTTCTGTTGGAATTTCAGATAGATAGATAGATGATAGATAGATAGATAGATAGATAGATAGATAGATAGATAGATAGGTTTTCATAGCTGGATTTCTGCTTTTGATTCTTTTGGGTATATACCTGAAGTAGAATTACTCGATTATATGGTAGTTTTATGTTTAACCTTTTGAGAAATTGTCGAATTGTTTTCCATAGTGTCTGTGCTGTTCTACATTCTCACCAGCAATGTGCAGGGCTCCAACTGCTACACATCCTCACCAACAACTGTTATTCTCCATTTCGTTTTGTCTTTTAATTATAGCCATGCTAGCAGGTGTGAGTTGGTGCTCGTTGCAATTTATATTTGCATTTCCCTAATGACTGATGATGCTAATCATCTTTTTATGGGTTTATGGGCCATTCGTATATCTTCTTTGGAGAAATTTCTATTCAAGTCTTTGCCCATTTTTGAATTGGGTTTTATTTTTGGCTTTTAGGTGTTCATTATATATTCCAAATATTAATACTTTATCAGTGCTTTGCAAATATTTTCCCCCACCTAGTACGTTGTATTTTTGCTTTTAAAGTATCCTTTGATACACACAAGAAAAATTGTATCCTTTGATTCACAAAGACTTTTGATGAAGTCCAGTTTATCTATTTACTTTTGCTTCCTGTATTCCCATATTTGATTTCAAACTGCATGACACATGAATTCTGTTTAAATGTCTCACAAAAAGCATCCTAGCAGTCTGGGAAACAAAGGAAGACCCCATCTTTATAAAAAATTTAAAAATTAGCTGGGTGTGGTCCTAGCTACATGAGAGTCCGAGGCAGGAGGATCAGTTAAGCCTGGGAAGCCGAGGCTGCAGTGAACTGTGCCTGCACCACTGCACACCAGCCTGAGCCATAGAGTCAGACCCTTCCTAAAAAAAAAAAAAAAAAAAAAAAAAAAAAAAAAAAAAAAAAAATGCATCTTAGGCATCTTGATTTAATTTTCTGCTCTGTGTCTGTCATCACATAAAAGATTGTCCAAACAGCAGAATTTGTGTGGAGTGGAGTGCTCTTTTATATGTGAAAATCTCAGACTAAATAGCTTTATTTACAATAGCCCAAAATTGTAAATAACCCAAATGTTCCTCAGTAATAGAATGGATAAACAAACAATGGAATATTGAAACAGTGGAACAATTAAAAACAATGAAAAAGAATGCAGCCCTACTTTAGGTACAAACATGGATTAATCTCACTGACAGATTGATAAGGAAAGAGGCCAGACACAAAACTACACAGTTTCTTTCCTTTTATTATGAAGTTAGAGAGCAGGCAACACGAATCTATGATTATAGAAGTCAGGTCTGTGGTTACATGAAGTGGGATATTGAGAAGAGACATATGAGAGAAAAGGAAGCCTTCTGAGCTGTTGGAAATAATCTTGATCTAGGCAGTGGCTACATGGGTGGGTGGGGATGTGGTGTGTGTGTGCGTAAATTCAAGTTTACACAGGATTTGTACACTTTACTGTTTATATATTATACCTCAGTTTAAAGCATTTTTAAATCTCTGGCTAATGGTGAGGTTCACAGAGTTCATGCTAGTATATCACGATGTGATTTTTCTCGTCAGAATATAGTCTGCCTTCTTTGGGAAGTTTTCAAATGATAACTGAGTTTAATCAATTACCAGCGAACAGAACTCTTTAAAAGTCACAGATTCTTGGAAATTTGCTTGTCGAAGGAAGAGCTTCCTTGAGAACTAGTTAGAAGAGTAGTAAATCATTCATTTCTGTATCATTGTTTATTCACAGAATAAAAATAGATTGCCTGGAAAAACTCAGCAAGTAATGAAGTAGGATGCTTTGATTGCTGTAGTATTTGAAACTATATCCTGATGGTTGTGCAAAAATTAGAGTTATGCTAAGATATTTTAGATACCAGGAAAAGGGATTGAAAAGGATTATGAGCATTCAAGCAGACTTTTTTAAAAATTCAAGTATAAGTTCAAGTATGTGTTGTTTTGACACAGACTCAGAAGTGAAATTGGGAAGGCACAAAGTGATAGCATTGGGCTTCAGTTTGTTCGCTGACTATTTCCTCAGTAAAGAATTGAAGTTGTGGAAATGATCTTTGCCATATAGGATATTTGAAGCAAATATAGGTGGAGACCGAGGTGGCCAGAAATATCAATCGTCACTCTAGATCAAAGGAGCAGGGAGATGGTTAGCCCCTGGGCTTCAGTGTGAGTGGGAAGATCAGGCAATTCTGGATGAGATTATCACACCTTAGAATATTAGGCTAATATTCAAAATTAAATTTATAAAATGGCCCACCAAAAACAGGATGAAATACAGTAAAGATGGGGGGTTGCATGTTTGGCTCAATTCATCTTGGGTCCTGAGACAAGATGGGAAATTAATCCCTAAGTAAAAGTGCAGTAGAAAAAGCAGTAAGGCTTTCTAAGTGGAAAAGCATGCCTGAGCAATGTGTGCTTTTTCAAAAGTTTTCAAAATACTGCAATACTTTAACAGAAGTATGGCAAAGAAAAATGTATGGTATCCAAGAGTCAAAAGTAATACTCCACGAGCATATATATCATGTTTTCCACACAGAGTAGACGGATATTTTCTTCTTAGAAGCATTAATTTTTAATGGCATAAGAAATTCAACTTTTATTAAGCGAGCAGTATGCAATAGATGTGGAAGTCCTGCAGCACTGTGCTGTGATTTGAATACGGTCTACATTTCAGGAAAGAGCCCCCATCCCATATTTTTTAAATGAATTATTTAAAAATCAGAAATTAACCTTCTTTAACAAAAAATGACAGAAGTAACTGCATATGTATTTCCACAGATGTGATTTCTAGTGTCATTATAAAGGGATCTGAATAGGTGCTAACCTCAACATAGGGATCAAAACACAACTGAGCTTTCATACCACGAAGACATTCCAGTGTGTTGACTGTTTTGAACTGAACAAGCTGTAAAGGTTATAAAGTGTCTATCTGCCTCAAAAAGATCATGAAAAGTACGATTGGCTCCACCTGTCCTTGACAGCTTATGCATTATATGATTTTTTATTCCAGCATTCAATGATGTTAAGTGTCTCACACACAGAAATGACTATTCATAGTGCTCATACAACCAACAGATGGCAGAATTGGCTATGTTGTTATTCTATGATTAATACAACTTTAGATCTATATCAAGCAGATCTATATCAAGGATGGTTTGTTTGTTTGTTCATTTGTTTGTTTGTTTTTTGAGACAGGATCTCACTCTGTCA